AAGAATAATTTTTAACATTTACTACGAATCTTCATTGTGATTTCCTGAGTTTAGTTTTAGCATTATTAATTTTTGTGAATTTTATTTGAGTTACAAATCAGATATAACAATGCATATAGACATCATAATACATATGAGAGCTCTGCCTCCATATCCCCAAAGGACAAATAGAATGGGTGGAATTATATTAAACTAATAAAGAGAATCCTAAGCAACTGCATTTTAAAAAGTTTAAGTTAAAGAAATTAATTGATATGATATAGCTATTTATGTTAATACCTTTACAAAGATTTATAAAATGAAAATAAACTGAATTTTTAACCAACTAAGACTAACACTAATCATCCTCTTTGCTATATTCAATATCTATAATATCCATTTTATTTTCATTTTTACCTAGACATTTTCTTGAATCATAATACCAGAGTTTACAAGTAGCACATTTTCTCTTATTTTTTTTTCTGCTTATATCATAAGATTCATCATTATTTTTTAATCTTTTAGTATTCTCAATGAATGATAGATACTTTTTATTAATAGGTCTTCCTTTTTCTTTATGTTAAAGTGGAGTTGTAATATTTAAAATTTTATTTTTACTAGATGTATGATCTGTTAATAATAAATATTCATTTAGTTTTCAATAAATTGCTTTAAAAGTTTTTATAAAGCTTGATTTGATTTATTTTCAATTGCTAAAATTAAAGCTTTTTTGCAAAGCCCAAGACCTCGACCATGTAAGTTTTTTTTTGAATTCTGTTCTTTAATAAATTCACTATACACATCTTGTTCACGAATAATATTCATTATTTGAAAAGTTTCAGTTTGCTGTTCCTCATTCTGAATTAAATGAATTGATTTTTCATTTATTTTTTCACTTAATATAAGTCCTTCTTTAGAATACTATTGTGAAGGTACTAACTTGATATTAAACTGTGCTATTTTTGATTGTAATATTATAGCAATAAAATGTCTGCAAACAAATCCAACATATACCAAATATAAGCATATGCAGTAATGTGTACCATCATCCAGTAGTATAATAAACTGTGACTGATTTTTGTATTTTGAATATGTTTAACCTTCCATATTTTTTTTATAATACAATTTGAAAAATCTTCAAAAGCTATATTAAGTAAAATTTGCAGCTCCTCATAATCATCTTCCATAAATCTGATATCATATCGATTTTCATCCTTAATTACCAAATTTATATGTTTATATACATTTGACAAATAAAATCACATAATTACATTACCTGAATCCTTATATCACCAATTTCTTTTTTCCATAACCTATACAAAAGACTTTTTACCATTTGTTTTTATTGTAAAGCTAAAGAATTTGGATTAAGATATTTTTTGCAAATTTCATCAACATATTTTAAAATAGTATCAGTAATTTTAGGCATTCCCATTGTTAGATTTGTATTGCGAAATTCTTGAAATCTTGAATATTTAGCCTCATCTTTTAATTGTATTTTAATTCCTGAATGAAGCTGGTATAATAAACTTTCTGAATTAGCATCTATTTTTATTATATAGTTCATACTTTCTACTTGCTAGGTTGAATATGTATTTGCTGAAAAATTATGCTTAATAAATCCATATGACTAATAAGTTTTGGTAAAATATAATACATGTTCACAATATTGTTGAACTTCTAAATAGTCTAACATTAGTTTATTCTAATGATTTTCAAACTCAAAAATAACAAACGAGTTTCATAAGGCTTAAAATTCATTAATAAATCTATTCCATTTACTTTTTAGCTTTCGTTTTATTTTTTTAACCAGATTTTGCCAAATATGAAAAACATAATATTTCATAATCATGTTAGGATATTGATTGTATAATACAACTTGTATTGCAGGATCTGCATCTATAAAGATTGTTATAGATTGGAGATCACCAGTAGTTTGTATCATTTATTTCAAAATCTATTTATAGGTTGATACAGTTTCATCACAAACAACTGCAGTTGCTACAATTCGATTTCATTGATCAGAATCTATTATGATAAATACACTTAACTGCATTGAATATTTGTTAGTTTTACAAATATTATCATTTAATACAACATCATAAAATCGAGATTACATCCTTTTTTTGCTCTTGTGACATCCCAAATATTTTGAATAATCTATTAGCACCCTCAAATTTAACTTTAAAATACCATTCTGAGTCTTCTGCATGTAAATTTATCAAATATTCAAGTAACTATGTAGCATCACTCTTAATTTATGCATCACACTTAAATCTATATATTGGGTTGTAAAGGTCTTAATTGTAAATTTATAATCAGAATATTTATTTCGCATGATTTTTTTTAAATTAGTAACTTCCA